CGCGCGCGCGCGCACGCACGCCACGCCGCGCCTCGCCCGCACGCCACGCCGCGCCCGCACGCCGCAGCCGCACACCTTTTGCTTCTCAAGCCTTCATTTTTGCATGTTTTACACATTTTGTAACGGCTGCATGCGGGTAACGGAAGCAATAACCGTGCGTAACGGTTCCTTGGATTCAGCGGGGGTTACACCTTTCATCACCTATAAAAGGAGGCTTGGAGCTCATTCAGAAATACACCAACGAAGAGGAAAATCTCTACACTCTCTTCTCTCTACTCTTATACCTCCAATAAAAGATTTCGGCTACATATTTACATATTCTATTTTCTGGGCAACTGTTTTCGTCTGAGCATAAGCTCTGTGTCTCACGCCCGAGTGCAGAGGCCGGCCGATTCTGGGGGTTTTTACCGCTAGGGGAGAGAGGACAAACTGCGCCAGGGCGATAGGCGGGTCCTTAATCTTCTAGGGCAGTGATATCACGACTGCTCCCAATCAGGCCTGAATTTTCTAACTCCTTAATTTGTTTATATTCCCGTTTTGACAGCACAACAAGCTTGAAGTAGCTACGAAAATATTTTGACAGTATTTGCATGACATAGTTGAAGTACTTTGATAGATAGATAGTATCTGTAGTAGATTGTAGTTCACTATAGGAAAATATCAATCCATAAATAAAAAAGGGATGTGTGTGACTAATGGGACGCGCATCAAAATCCGTATAATCCAGATCATCATATGCTATCTGGATCTAAGTGATGAGTTGTAACGTGTTACGGACGCATCAGCCAGTTGCATAGACAAACACTCCCAACATTCTTTAGTCACATAACATTCATCCACCATGGTTTAAAAATTCTTATTCATCATAGAGAAGATTCTTATTGTCATATATTTTTTTCTTCGTGGTAAGAGAATATTACTCCTAAGATATAAAGAATTACAATACTGCTATTTTTCAAAGTTACCTACAATCTCTAGGATGGATGATGAGAAGCAATACATCTATCTTTTATCTCATGCATGCGCTTTTTTTATCCGCTCATCCGTCCTTAAGTTACTATATATGTTAATCTAAAATACATTTTTTTACAATGGTAAATTTCTCAAAACCCCCAAATATTGGGGGTGTTTCCTACAAAATCCTCTTAAAATTTTGTTTCCTCACTAAAGCTCCAATATTTTCCTCATAAAAACTCCCAACACTACAAATCGATTCAAATAACTCCATAAATTTTTTTTTCTTTTTTTCCAAAAATTCCCAAAAAAAGGAGAAAAAGAGAAGACGAGCCCTAAGGGCTTGTTTGGATTGAGGGGAATGGGATGAAGAGAAGTTAGGGGAACCATTCACCTCCATTCACCTTGTTTGGGAACACTTAGGAGGTGAAGTTAATTCACCCTAGTTCCCCTTAGTTCACCCCCTAATAGTATAAAAATTGTTACCCCTAAATTGGGGTGTAACCATGGGGAAGGAAACTCCCTTCCCTTCCCTTCACTTAGTTTCCCAACTTCCCTTCACCCCCTACAAATCCAAACCCCCTACAAATCCAAACAGGCCCTAAAGAAAACAAGGAAAGAACATAATTAGGAAGATAACACAGTGCAGGTAAGGCTTGAGTGACTCCCCCAAGTGTAAGGCAGTTTTGTAAAATTTACCCGCTCTTCAAAATTATATCGCACTCGTATCAAGACGACACCCATCAGATCATCAAGTTCAGACTCCCTCATTCCCAGATTAATTAAAATCGTACGCAGGAGAAGTCTTCATTCTCCCCCCAAAATCTCAAAACCCTAGCTCTCTCTCGATCAAGAGCAGGGGGGGAAAAGAATTTTTATTTAAAAAAGAAAATGGAAAACCCTGACCCTAATCATCATCACCCTCTCGCTCCCCCATGCTGGGTCCTCGAGTTCATCCTCCGGCAACCGATCCCCAACCACCTCCTCCACGCCCTAATGAACTCCCTCCCTCCTCCGCCGCCGTCTCAGCCGTTGCCGACCCGATTCCAGCGCGAGCTCCCTCCTCCACCAGCTCAACTCCGATTCCCGCGCTTACGACTCCTCCCCTCTAACCCTGACCCTATTCCGCTCTGCCTACGTCCATGCCACCGTAGGGTCCACGCTCAACGCGGGCTCGTCGAAGCTGGTGGTCGATGCCGTGGAGAGGACTTGGTGATGGAGTCGGAGGCGAGCGGGTTGGTTTCTGAGGAGCTGATGGAGCGGAGAGGAGGATGGAGGAGACGGAGGGTGAGGGTTTGGTGGTGGAGTGGAGGAGGGAGGCGGGGCTGGCGGCGGTGAGGGAGTATTTGGTGAAGGAGTTGGAGGTTATGGGTCCCACGGTGTTGGAGGTGGCGGCCGAGGCTCATCTTAGCGGGACGAGGACCGCGGAGGAGGTTTTCCAGGAGTTTGATGATTGTGACTATGAACACGATGATAATGATAATGACGACCGTGACCGTGATGGTGGTGGTGGTGGTCGTAGTATGGAGGGAAATGGGGTTGGTCCTGTTATCAGGGAAGATGAAGGAGTTAGTGGGCCGTTG